ATGATGCTGATGATGCTGGGATGCTGATGATGCTGATGATGCTGGGATGCTGAGATGCTGATGATGCGGATGATGCTGAGATGCTGGGATGCTGATGATGCTGGGATGCGGATGATGCTGATGATGCTGGGATGCTGATGATGCTGGGATGCAGATGATGCTGAGATGCTGATGATGCGAGTGCTGCTTTGAAAAAGCATTTTCATTCATAAATCTGAGCAGCATGTTCGAAATATCCTCCTATGAACACATGAGCTGTGTGCTGTGTTCTGAGATCAAGCAGCATTAGAAGCCTGACAGATGAAATAAGCATTTTTGAAGCTTTACACAAAGTATTTTTTAAAAGAGTTGAGAATCATATTTGATGCATCAGGCTTTTATAGCTCAACTCAGTTTTATTCAGAGACTCAAACTGAGCAAAACTGTGCAATCCGACAACAGAAGGCGTTTCTTATTACGCTTGTTTGTAATAAATATGACAATAATTTTATATCTAAAAATATTACTACTACTACTAATAATGATGCAATTAATTGTTTTAAAAATTATCATAACTTTGTAATAATATAATAACGGTAATATTATATTTAAATTGTAATATAATAATTTTAATAACAAAAATAAATATTTATAATAATATATATTAAATATATTTCTATTTATAATATATTTATATATTTTCAAATATTTTTTAAATTATAAAATAATTTATTATGCTTGTTTGTAATGACAATAATGTTATATCCAAAAATATTGTAATATTATTATTACTAAAACTACTACTACTACTAATACAATTTGTTATTATTAACATTATTATTATTATTTGTGTGCCAACAGAAATTGTCTTTATAATTTTTAAATTATTTAAATGATTTAAAAATATAATCAACATTTATGGTGTTAGTAATAATAATAATAGTATTAATATTGTTATATATAAAATAAATTACTTAATAATAATAATAATAATAATAATAATAATAATGTTATATATAAAAATACACTAGTTAATAATAATAATAATAATTATAACAATATCACAATTAAGGTTATTAATTTTAAAATGGTTATTTTTTGTGATTGTTTTTTATTTTATTTGAAAAAATAACATTACAGAAATTTTAAAATTATTTAAATGATTTAAAAATATAATCAACATTTATGGTGTTAGTAATAATAATAATAGTATTAATATTGTTATATAAATTTTTTTATTACTTAATAATAATAATAATGTTATATATAAAAATACACTAGTTAATAATAATAATAATAATTATAACAATATCACAATTAAGGTTATTAATTTTAAAATGGTTATTTTTTGTGATTGTTTTTTATTTTATTTGAAAAAATAACATTACAGAGCGTGAATAACAGCGTAAATTGTAATATAATAATTTTAATAATACTATTTTTAAATTATAAAAACAACTTTTTATGCTTGTTTGCAACAACAATAATGTAATATCTTAAAAATATTATTATTTTTACTCACGATAATAATAATATTAATGTTATATCTAAAAATACTACTACTAATAATAGTAATAATAAAATAATAACAATGTTATTATTTCTTTAAATTGTTATTATAACATTTTAATAACAATTAATTTTTTTAAATAATAAGAATTCTGTAACACTTTATTTTAAGGTGTTACACATGTTACATGTACTTACTGTTATAATAACAATTAATTATGCATAATTACATGCAAGTAACCCTAACCATATAGTAAGCACATGTAGTTAATTAATATTACTCAGTACTTCAATGTATAATTACACTGTAACAAGGACACCTTAAAATAAAATGTAACCAATAATTCCTTATTATGCTTGTTTGTAATAACTATAATAATAATAATAATAATGTTATATTTAAAATAAATTATTTAATACAATTATAAAATGTTAAAATAGATTAATATCATTATTGCACTTTGTGTGCCAACAGAAACTGTAATTACAATAATTTTAATAACAATAATTTAATTTATTTAAAATACAATAACATTATATTTTTAAATAATGAAGCGAGACAGCAAACTTACAAAACAGCCGGAAATGTTTTTTTTTTAGAAATACCATTTTTTATAATAAACACTTAAATGCTATTAAATATTAGTGCTTGTGTTATGTGTTTTAAGTATAATCAAACCCTTAACACACAATGGACTAAATTAATTATTTAATGAATTCATTGATTTATGCAATTCTTTAATTAATTAAGTGTTCTCATTAGAGCTGTCTATAAAAACCAGCAGGCAAGAGTAGTGTTATCAGGCAGGTGAAGGAGGTGGCTTTAATTCTATAGCAAGCTCATTTTGTTATTTTTAAGGTATGATGTGATTTGTAGGTTGAAAGTACTGAATGTTTTTACACATTTTAAACTATATAGCCATCTGTGTTAAAGGGAAGTCATCTTTTGATTACAGGCACAACATCTGGCACAAAAAAATGTTTTTATAGTAAAATGTCGTGTGTTTTCATGTCACATGATTATCTAAGCAGCCAGAAGTGGTTCATGGGTTGTCTTTGAGATCAGCACCGTCGGAAACAGTGTGACGTAACGAAGCTTCGTGTGCTACAATCACGTGACCTGGCCGGTTTGATTCGCGCGCCGAAGCACTGATTCGAATCAAACGATTCGCAAATGTTCTGAAGCTTCGTGAAGCTGACAGCACTGGAGCGTCATGATGGACACAGACCTTCCAAACACTCCATGATCTTCTGCTTCACCTGTATGAGAACAAACGTGACTCTGCAGCACAAAACCAGTCATAAGGGTCAATTTTCTGAAATTGAGATGTACATGCACACACACTTCACCGCCTGTCTGCATGATGAAGATTTATCAGCCTGTGTTTAAAATAACTGTGCCAGATTGAGCAGCAGAGCATCTGACATACAAATATGCCTTTAAAAACATTTAAGGTGCTCAGTGTCAAAGCATGCTGAACAATGTGTGCTGATTTAATGATAATAGATATCTGCTCTGCTGTTTGACTGAGAGGTTTTACTTCTCTTACATGAAGTTAAATAAAGTAAACGTGGTTGAATAGCAGTTGAATTAGAAACGCACATGACTGCAGCTGCGCCTTTAAGATTTTCCGCGAACTCTCTGCTACGCGTCTCTCTGCCCCGCCCCCTGTCGCTAATGATTGGTCGGAACGCACGGCGTCTGTAATTGATTGGTTTAGACTCCGTTAGAGCGTCGCGTGGCTTGTGTGTGAGATCAGAAGATGAGGAGACACCGAGGAGAGTTTCGGCTCGTCTGATATCACTCACAAACTCACTTCAGAAACCGCAAAACTTTCTGCGTTCGAGCTTTTTTTGCTTCATTTATCAGCTGTATTTGATCTTCAGCCGATGACTGGCGTGTCTCGGCTCGCGGATGAAGCAGAAGCAGAAGCAGGTGTGTTTATCAGCTCCGTCAGAACATGAGCTTCAGAGCCGCTGGAGCTGTCACCCGCGGACGGACTCATGAGCGCTGCATTCTGCTGCCATCAGATGGTTTTCAAGCTTCAGTTCATGGTAAGTGTGATTCCGTTCTGTCTGCGGCAGCTGGATGATCACAGCTTCGTCTGCGTTTCTTTTTCCTCCGCTGAGGTAAAGACTGAGTTTGTGGGTTTGTGAAGAAATTGAACGCATGTTGACGGCTGCGCGGTGTCTTTGATGTCACCTGATTGATGTGTGTGGCGGCGCTTTGATGTCTGTTATTGGAGTCTGTAAAACACACACACTCACACAATCTCACACACACACACACACACACACACACACACACACACACACACAATCACTCACACTCATACACAATCATACACACACAATCACACGCGCACACACACACACACAATCATACACACACACACACACACAATCATACACCACACACACACACACACACACACACACACACACACAATCACACACACACACACACACACGGCTGCAATAAACAAGCATTGAGTGGCCGTAATCAGCTTCAGGGACCGTATCAGAGCCACACTGCACCGCAGACGTGTGCAGTGTAAATTGTCTAAGCATTAATAGTAGGGAAAGCCCCTTATACTGGAGCGCGGCCACTTATGACGTGTTTCTTGGAGGTTATAGTACACTGAAGAATGATCATAAGACTTTTTACATACGCCATGTGACCTGTAAATGCAAAAATGCTTTTTCGCATTGCCTGAAAAACCACCTCATGTGAGCGTAAAAACGTTTTTGCGATATATGGGCGTTTTTGCGAAGTTGACGCGTTTGTTTAGGTGTTAATGCTGGTTTTCGTTTGGCTTTTCTATATGTAAATCCCACTTCATCCAGCCGGTTTCTTACAGTTCTGTCACACACATTGACTCCTGTTTCCGCCCATGTGTTTTTCATTTGTTTTGTTGTGCATTTTCTATATTCAAGGCAAATTGCTTTGAGTTTTCTATCCTGACGCTTTGATGTCTTCTTTGGTCTGCCTGTCTCTTTTCCTTATGTAACCTTTCCATTTTGTTTATATTTGCACCTAGTTTTAGAAACAGCTGACTGGGAACATCCGACTTCTTTTGCCACACTCGGTGTTGGATTTCCATCTTGAAGGAGTTTTATAATCTTTTCCATCATTTCAGCTGGCAGCTCTCTTGTTGGGGCCATGTTTCCTCTCAATTAGCGAAGTCCAACAGCTCGTTAAGGTCTGTGAGCTCTCTCTTTTAACGGCTGACTAATTAGCATTTTAGATATGTGCCGGTGTTTGTTTCAGAAATGCTAATAATGAGCCGATTCCATCATTTTTTCCTCAAATTGAGAGATTCCATAATTTTCTTTCCTCTACTTGATATGGAAAATAATTTTCCATTAATTAAAATATTTTAATCTCATTTGTTTGAGGTATGTTTCACATAACCAGTGTTGAATTATGAAACAAAAATAGTTTTGTCATATCTGTAATTTGTTTATTTCTTATTAAGTAAAATATTTGCGTGAACATCTAAGTGTGATGATTCCGTAATGTTTGCCAGCGGTTGTATTTGTTTGACTGATTAACAGAAGTGTTCCGAATCCACCAACAGTTTTCACAATTGATTATAAATCTTCACGTTTGAAGATTTGAAAAATATATTAACATCACATTTATGAGTAACGATCACGTGAAAATAAGTGTTTGCTAATATCAGCATTATTGTGTATCTGTATGCGGTGATGATGATGTGAGTGACGTTGCATTTTAATGTTTTGTTAGTCTAGCCCACGAGACGCGCCGCTGCTGCGTTATTCATTCAAAATATTCGAGAAATATAGAAGCTCCTTCGGCTCTTTGGATTGAGCAATGCATAAATACACAATGCTGCTTTGTTCATATTTTTTATGCAATTTACGAAATTATATTTGATTTGTATGAGTTAATTTAGACGTAATGCACGTTTACTATAGACAGTTATTTCCTTGCGTTGACGATTTAAATGCGCTGCATTATTTTGCTCATTGCGCCCTCCTGTGGCCTCGGGAGACACGACAAAAGTTTCCTTCAGACCTATTTAATCTGCATATAAAACATTAGAGATGAGATATTTGTTAAATTTTTATTGTGTGTTTGACTGTTAAAACAAACAAAAAAGTTGTTGTTTGTCTCAATAAATTGGGTTAATTAAAAAATACAGTGGTTTAAAAAAATAAAAATTCTATTGCTCTGTTTTAAAAAGGGTTATAAAAAATGTCAAATAATTATCGATACCGAACGATATGAAGCATTATATCGTCTATACATTTTTCAGCTATATCGCCCAGCCCTACATCATGGGAAGAGCTATAAAGCAATAAGACACCATGGTTTTGCTCTGGTCTGTGTCCTAAAGCGTAGTATTTTACCACGTAGTGTGTCTGTTGAGTTGCTAACTGAGCTTTCAGGAACGGCTGTGATCTCAGATACTGAAGTCATTTCTCTGCCATTTGAATCTTCCTATTTTCCCGGTGAAATGCATTGTGGGAGCATTAGTCCTGCTCAGATAAATGGCCAGTTTGTGAGGAATGTAAAACCCATAATGTTATAGATTTAGGCTCACTTCCCCTGATTGATTTTCCCCCCTTTCTCCAGCTAAAAGGGTGAAACCACTTATGTGCATGCTAATGACGGCTTCACTGGCCGTTTAGCAGAAATCCACATTATCTGAAAGCTCACATTATTGCAGATATCATTGGACATGAATTACTCTTGATACGTGAACTCAGCTCGTCCAGCAGGAGCACGGGTTCATGCCGTTAGGAAGCGTTTATGGGACGATTCCTCTGTGCTAATGGCATCTTCCAGTCCGAGTTAGAAAGTTATTTGCTTTTTGAGTTTGTAAAGTGCTCAAATTGTGTTTCGGCTGCAGTGCAGATTGAATTTGAAGTGTTATTCTCTATAGTTTTAACCTTTGGTATTTTAGCTGAATCTCGTGCGCTCGTCCGCTCTGTTTGTGTCTGTCTTTATGATGTTGCTTTTCAGGGCTTTGGTTACTTTGGCACAGACAGATGACATTTTCTTGACATTCGATGCGGAGAAGATCTCGATTAGGTTAAAACCCAAACCAAGCCATTCACACAGAACGCATATTCAGCGTGTTTTTAGATGGACAAATATGACTGCTGCTCTCACGTCTCACACAAGAGATGTATAGAAAGCCATGCAAAGTTAAAACAGTTTGAACTTTTAGAAAACACGTCACGAATTTGTGGAGGTTTATTCCGTTTCATTGCGTCTCATATGTTTTATATGCAGTCTGTGTGATGGCGATTCGGCTCTTTGGATTGAGCAATGCATAAATACACGATGCTGCTTTGTTCATATTTTTTATGCAATTTACGAAATTATATTTGATTTGTATGAGTTAATTTAGACGTAATGCACTGTTACTTCCTTGCGTTGACGATTTAAATGCGCTGCATTATTTTGCTCATTGCGCCCTCCTGTGGCTTCGGAAGACAAGCCAAAAGTTTCCTTCAGACTAGAGCTGGACGATATGGCCCAAATTTATATCACGGTATATTTCTTAATCTCGGTCGATACGATATAATTCCGATATCGATATGAACACTATTTAAAAAAACCTTGTAAAAACCTCCAAGAACGCCCACAACAGATGTCTTTATGAAAAATTAATTTGCCAAGTCTATGACACTGTTAATTGAACATTGTAGAAGGTGCGTTTACTGTGTGTATCTCCTGACCAAGGCTGCATTTATTTGGTTAAAAATACAGTACATTTTTAAAAATATTATTATAATTTAAAACCGCAATTTTTTATGTGACTGTCTATTAAACTGTAATGTATTTCTGTGATGCGCAGCTGTATTTTCAGCATCATTCCTCCAGTCTTCAGTGTCACATGATCTTCAGAAATCAGTATAATATGCTGATCTGCTGCTCGAGAAACATTTCTGATTTAACACGTATTCGCATAGAAAACAGCTGTTTTACATTCTAATAATATTTCACATTTTTTACTGTATTTTTGATTAAATAAATGCACCCTTGGTGAGCAGAGGAGGCTTTATTGTACTTTGCTCTGCTCCTCAGCTGAAGGTCTGCTGTTTGTGACGGTGAAGTGATTAATTGCTCAGCCGCTCCACTTACAGGGATGATGTCAATCTTCTGGTTGCTAAGCAACTTCCTCTCTGCATCCACGCTAATCACCTTTTATCTGCCGAGGATGTGGTGTGTAATTATAGGCATGCTGCCGTCCTCTGAAATCGGCCTAATTGCTCGTTTTATTTTTATAGGATAAAGACACGGGGTGAAAGGGGACGGGGGTATTAGAGTTATTAAAGTTTGCTAAGTGATTTCTATCTCTCCCCCCGTGAACCAAACAAACCAGCAGGTCATTTAGTGTGATTTCTGAAGCGCGGCAGCGTTATCTCTGCGCGTCGAGTCGTGGGACGCAGGTGGAGGTCATTCAGGATTAGCGCTCGCAGACTAAAGTCCATTTTCTGGGTGAAGTCTGCGGCGTCCCGCGCCGAGCCGTCATTAAGAGGTTCTGCGGCGTGTAAATGCCCTGCAGGAAGCATTTGGCCCATCTCTTCATGAGCTCCCTGTTTTATTAACATTTTTAATGACTTGAAGGATTCAGTGACCCTTTACAGCATAATGAATTGCCCCGCGAGTCTCCCGGGTGAGGAACGACACTCACTCAGACGCTTTATCAGCGCTGCTCTGATAGACGTATTCATCCAGCACAGCCGTTCATCAGATGAGATGTGGGCATTCTGATGAGAATTTCATTAAATGTAATGCAGTGATTCCCGAACTCTTATCAGCCAAACCCCTTTGAACTTAAATATTTACTTGAAGTCACCCAGAGATTTTAAGTTCATATTACAGTCATGTATAAGCACGTTTGCATGTTCACAGCTCTCTGTTATCAGTAATGGTCACATTGATTATGAATATTTCATCATTTTTAGTGTTTAAGTGTTTCGATTTTATTTTACATTTTTATGACTTAGTTATTAGCTTTTATTAACTCACAACTCCTTGCATTTCATTGACGAAACCCAGTTGGTGAAACACT